ACCTTGAAACCCGGGACACCTACAACCAAAAACACGAGGGTATTACTCCGAGATAAAATAAAATAAAATAAAATAAAGTAAAATAAAGTAAAATAAAGTAAAATAAGATAAATAACACTAAACTAATAAAAATTAAATAAAACTATACAAGTAAAGAAAGTGAAATAAAATAGACTCAAAACTAATTAAAATAAATAAAAGTAAATTAGAAAACTTTCAAGGAAAAATAAAGAACGAAATATAACAAATCAAAAGCAAATAAAATACGAAAATAAACTAAAAACTACGAAAAGAACTAAAACACGACAAAATTACCAAAATAAACTAGAAACTTTATTAAAGAGAAAACAAGAGAAAGAAAGGGAAAATAAGATAAAATAAACACGAAATGACTCTAAAAATACTTCCTAAGAGTGACATAAATGTCACTCATCAAGAGATGTCAAAGATGAGTTGGGAAGGTAGCACCAATGCTTGTTATTCCGAAGCCACTGATAATTCCCCTCCTCATAACGCTTGGAGATAAATTGAATTTGCCCCAATTGTTTCATATCAAGGTACACGGAGTCGGCATCTCCAACCGGCTTGCAATAAGGCAAATGATGATCAAGGTGGAGGTTGGTCAAGAGCCTAGTGACCATTCCCCCACAAGGAATCTCCCCGGTGTCCCGGTCTTGCAAGGCTACACAATAAGTGGCAAAGATGTACCCCAAGTGCAACCGGCCACGATATTCTCCTCTAGTGGCCAACCATAGAATTTTGAGCTCCAATTTTCTCATCTTACCCAACACTTGTTTAGGGAAAACCAACTACCCCAAAAGACGGTGAACAACCCGAAGACAAGGTTGGTAGACATTGCTAATCTTGGCCCGCTTGGTGACAAACTCACCACCTCCAGAGATATCGTCCCACAAAGAATCCTGATAATACTCCTAAAAAACATAAGGCTCTAGATCCAAGATGTCACCATGAGGATCAAAATCTAGAGCGGTATTGAATTGCTCTAAGGAGTGGTCGAAGAAGTTGTTGAAAATTTGGAATTGAACCCTATATTGACCTTCTACGGGAACTATCTTAACCGAAGCAAAGAACTCATGAGTGGGCTTAACATAGGTGCGGTAGCTATGGGAGATGAATGTGCCCATTCGAAGGTCGATCAACAACTCCCTTACATCCTCATCAATTCCCAATGCGGACATGTCGGATTGGAAGTAGTGTCTTGTGGGTTTGAGGGAGCGGTTTCCCTTTAATTTATGGTACCGGTTCTTTTGTTTTTGATCGTGGAATTATATTTTGGGTAGTGGAGTAGGGTTTCGTGTTTTGGAGGTGGATGTGCTTGGGGTAGGTTCATCAGTGGAGGTTTTTGTTTTGCGTTTCTTAACAAGGTTTTTGAGGACTCTCGGCATGATGAACTTCAAGTGCAAGGATCACAAAAAACCAATCAAAAAATTCCCACAACAATCCGCAAAATCTCCAACCAAGAACTTCAATATCCACAAATCACAATTCCAATCCAAATTACCAAACAACCAACAATTTCTTCTCACAAAATCAACAATCACAAGAAGAACATCAATACCACAATAGCACCTTACTACCCTGTAGGCGTCGCTCGAAGTGCGCCTACGTTAAAGCATGTGATGAATATGCTTGGCAATCATAGGAAGTGGGAATTGACATATACGATTAGGGACAAGGAAAGTAGGGAGCCGCCAACAAGTTTTTAAGGAACTTGTAAACCGTTCACGGATCATAAAAGGAAACCACGAAAAAAGGGAAAACGAAGGCAACACCGATTGACCCATGAAGGTTACACCCCATTCATAATCCATGAGATTTCTAACTCCATATGGTTCGGAACCACGAAAGGAGGATCGGGGATGATTGTACAAAGTGAGTCATCGAGTCACATTCGCTTGTATTGGCCTCTACTCGATTCTTATAGTGAAAAGTGATTCCTGCGATCTCAAAGGCATACAAACAAAGATTCAATTTGCTCCAAACTATTATTAATCTAAATTGGTTTAATATTAATGCAACACATAATTCTAAAATATTGTGATCACTTGAATTAACAACAAGATTAAAAAGGAACCTAAACCGGTTGTCCAAATTATCTTATTAGGCGCGATTTCCAATTACATATTCCCTTTAAACATGCAATATAGTGATCAATAAATAATAAAAGAATAAACATTAATATTGGAAGCAATTCAACAGTAATAATGTTATTCAAATCAAATATAAAATTAATCTAATCATGATACTAGCAATATTAAAATAAAATAAGAGTAATTAAATTAATTAATTACTCACATTCTGCGCGTTCCTTTAAATTGCTACGTCATGAATAAACTGTTAGTAACTTCAATAAAAAAATATAAAGCAAATGAAAATTAAATTAAAGCAGAGTTGATTTGGTCCAAACCCTCAGTCAATTATACCTTTCACGCCTTGGTTTAAGTATAGAACTTAGGGTATTGTATGAACTCCTTGGAGTGCTTAATTAGAGGAAGTATTTTGGAAGAATAGGGAGGCTAATATTTAGGCTAAAGAGAGAGAAGAGAATTATTTTGTGATCAAGCTTGTTGGTGTTTGGAAAACGGTGATATGACCTCTATTTATAGAGAAAAAAGAGAGGTCGAAAAAACAAGATAAGATCCGAATTAAATCGGAATAAAACTCGATAGACAGCAGTTTTTGCAGTTTTTGTTTTATCATATCTTTTGATTCAGAAATCGGAATAAAATGAATAATATATATTTGGAATATCTTGAAGTCTACATTCTAACCCAATTAGAATCAGACTAAAATATTTTATATAATAAAAGATATGGCCGAAATAGTGGGACAGTGTCAGTTTTGGATAGAGTTTTTTATTTGATCAATATCTTTTTCGTTATAGCTCGGAATTGATATTATAATATATTATTGGAAATATAATTTCAAGGGCTACCCAACCATATAAAATTTTGATAAAAACTATGATGCACGAAAATATTATCTGTCTATCTTTGAACGTCTTTCAATTCGGATATAAATAATATTTTCAAAAAAAGAGTTTTATTCAATTTCAAACTATTTAATCTTGTCTTTTCAAAAAGGATAATTAAGATCTTTTAGAAAATTATAGAAGCTTCCAAAATTAATCCTAATTGGTTTGGGAATGGGGGATTAAATAATTTGGACCCTCCACATGATCATTGGGTCGTAGGTAAGGTGGGCTTAGGTTCGGTTTGGACTCAGTTTAATATTTTTGCCATAACTTATTCGTTATAACTCGGATTTGGACTTATAATATATCGTTGGAAAGCTCTTTTAAAGCCCAATCCAATTATTTAATAATTGGTTGATTATGGATCAAAATAAACTGGATTAAACGTTTTTATAAAAAGGACACGAAATAAATGATTTTAAAGGACACGAAATGAATTATTTTGGGTTTAAAGGCACGAAAAGAGGAAAATTAGTTATGGTTTGGGGAAATGGGCTAGGAATTAGGTTGTTTTTATGAAATTTATTGGGATTGAATATGGATTTAAGCACTCCAAAAATTAAATACTCAACCCGACCAATAATGGCGGTGAAAGGTTGTTCATCATCGGGTTTGGTTTTGGGGAGACATTTTTAGGTGTCTACATACCCAAACTACCAAAATTTAAATTCCAAAATTCTCACCAAAATTGCTCACAAATGCTACAAAATCAACAAACAACACAATGTGAGATAAAATCAAATGACAAACAACTCAAATAATCAACCAAAAACCAATATCAATCATCAAAATTATCAAAGTTGGTACTACCACTATTCATGCTCATGAACAAATCAAAACTTGCAAATATATGACATAATTGAGCAATTAAAAGCTAGAGAAGATGATTATACCATATATGAAAAGATTGAACCACTTTTAACCACCAATTTCCACCAAATAGAAAAACCCCAAATTATACCCAAGTATGGAGGAGAGAGATTGGAGGTTTAATTTAATGAAAGTAGTATGAATTTGATGGTTTGGATGAAAATGTAGAAGGTTTTAGTGAATTTGGAATGAAAATTTGAGTGATTTGAGTTGAAATTTTGATGAGTTGTTGAAGTGAGCGGTGCGATCTTGAGGGTTTGAGGATGATGGGGGTCGAAGCTATGAAGGAGGAATAAGGGGAAATGAAAGAAGAAAGGAAGGAAGGAAGATAGGGGGGGCGGCACGGGCTGATGCGTGCCTGCACCAGGCAGGTGCGCGGCCGCACCAGCTTGATGCGCGCCCGCACCAGCCAGGTGCGCGCCCGCACCTGAGCCCAGCCAAGCTCTCTCTCTCTTTTTTAGATCTCGGTGCGATCATTGGTGGGTACACGAATAATGATGATAATAAACACCAACATAGGGAGTAGAAAAATCCCGTTGTAGTGGGTCCAAAACTAGAATTTCATGAACCCACCATAAAAATTCACCAAGAGCAAACTTCCTTAAACTTTAAAGCACAAAATCCCTAACTTACCATACCAAGATTCTTACCCTTTTACCTTAAATTTCGATAAAATCGAGTATAATCACATCAAAAATCGCAAAACACCTTCTCATTCTTTATGCTCACTTAATGAAATCCAATCCCAAAAATGCAACCTACAAATCCAATCAAGTAAAAAAGTGAAAGAAAAGAAAATAAAAGAAGGAAAAATAAGTGAAATTCAAAAATCAAAAAGAAAAGTTAGAAATCTCCGGGTTGCCTCCCGGGAAGCGCTTGCTTATGGTCCTAAGCTCGACCCTTCCTCCAAATCATGGAGGGTCAAAGAACACCACCTTCTTCAAGGTAGCGGAAAAAGAAAAGTCTTTTTCAACTTCTAGCAACCTGTTGTTGTTGCTTGATGAAACTTCCTTCAAAGACTTTTCGATTGCAAATTTTTCTTTCTGTAACTTCTTTCTCTCTCTCTTCTTCTTAGAATCACGAGCCTTTTTCTTTGGCTTGTTTCTCATTGTAGATGGTTCCTCACCATCCATACTCATGAAAACATCCTCTCCATCTTGAGGATAGAGCTCAAACCAATGAGGTATTTCAACTTCCTCCCCGTTCGTAACTTGGGAATCATCATTTTCTCTTCACTAACCTTCTTGCCATCAAAACTTGAAAGAACATCATCACTATTCTCAAGAACATCGTTAGTTGAAGAATTAATCATGCACACATTATCAATAGAGTGAGGGGAATTAGCACACATAATTCCTTGCACAAGAGACAAAGACTCATGCATTGGTTTCAACTTAAAGCTTTCCTCTTTCTTACCAATTCTCAAGGTAATGCGGCCTCCTTTCACATCTATTAAGGCTCCCGAAGTGGCTAAGAAAATTCTTCCTAAAATGATAGGGATATGGTCATCTTCCGCAATCTCAAGCACAATGAAATCAACGGGAATAGTGAACCCTCCTATCTTAAGAGGAACATCCTCAACTCTCCCCTTTGGAATCATAATAGTCCGATCGGCCAATTGAAGGGTTATGTTAGATGGGAGTAGCTCACCTAGCTCGAGTTTCCTGAAAATGGAATAAGGCATGACGCTCACACTAGCTCCAAGATCACAAAAAGTATTATTAAACATTTTCCTTTTGATCTCACATGGAATGGAGAAGTTTCCCGGATCCTCCATCTTCTTGGGCAAATTATTATGAATCAAAGCACTACAACAACTCCCAACTTCAACCGAATCAATTCATTGCACATTCCCACTCAAAATCTCATTAAGGAACTTAGAGTACCTAGGAATTTGGGTAATTTCATCGGTGAAGGGGATAGAAAGGTGAAATTCCTTGAGCGTAGCAATAAACTTTCCAAATTGCTCCTCAATTTTGTGCCTCAAGAATTTTTGTGGGTATGGAAGGTCGGGTCTCCGCACTTCCTCACGCTCTTTCTTACTACTCCTTTTTTTCTCTTGCACCTCCTTATAACTCACACTCTTAGACTCAACCTTCTCAACTTCCACTCTTGGGTCACTCCTCTCCTCATCCTCCTCAATGGACCTAGAAGCTCCCTCATTAAGAACTCTTCCACTCCTAGTGGTGATAGAATAAACGGGTTTCTTAGGTTCCACTCCTTGAGAAGGCAAAGAGGATGGACTAGCCCAATCCTTTAGAGTATTGGCTAGTTGGGTTATTTGTGTCTCAAGCATTTTGTTATGACTCATCATTTCATTAAATTTCTTGTCACTCACCGCCATATATGTGTTGATGATCTTGGTTTGGTTATCAATCAGTTCTTCCAAATTTGTCTTAAATGATGATGGTTGGGAATAAGAATTTTCACCATTGCCTTGAGGCTTTGGAGAAAAACCGGGTGGGGGTCCCCTTTGGTTGTTATTTTGAAAACTTCCCCGATTTTGGTTGTTGTTCCAATTGCCACGACCTTGATTATTGCCACCATTATTGTAATGATTACCAAAGCCTTGAGATTGACTTTGGTTACCATACCCATGGCTCGGGTTTTGATTACTATAGCCTTGGTTGTTATAGTTACCTCGAAAACCTTGGTTTCCTTGGTTCCTATAGCCTCCATTGTTGTAGTTATCGAAACCACCTTGGGGGTGAGAATTCCTATTACTAAAATTCTTAGGTCCATCAAACCTTTGACCACCATTGGCATTAGACACAAAGTTCACATGTTCACATTCATTAATTTCAACATCATCACATCCATGAACAAAAGTTTGAGAACACATGGAAGAATCATGATCATAAGATCCACAAGAATCACAAAATAGACAACCACTTGGCATATTATTGGAAGTAGAAGGAGAAGAGTTAGAAAATGTACCTCTCCCTTTGGATTGGGAGGGAAGACTCAATGAATTCGTAGAAACACTCTCAAGCTTTGCTTTGATCGACGTCCCTTCCTTCCCTAGATTTAAAATTTGGGAAGACAAGTTGTTAATCGCGTTGAGATGATCCACCGAATAAACCGTCAAGCCACTCTTGCTCGTAGACTCCCTCTCTCCTTCTTGCCAATCTCTATAGTATCTCACCACATCCTCGATTATGTCAACTACCTCTTCTTCCGTCCTATTCATTATAGGACCTCCGACTCCTCCATCTAGGCATGACTTGCCTTGAGCGCTCAAGCCTCCATAGAACATTTGTATCACTTGATAGGTAGGAATTCCATGATGTGGACACTCTCTTTGGTAATCCTTGTACCTCTCCCATGATTCATAGAGATTATCATTGGGCCTTTGTTTGAATCCTTGGATCAAGGCTCTAGCCTCCGCCGTCTTCTTTTGTGGGTAAAAGCGAGACAAGAAAGCTTTGGTAACTTCATCCCACTTCCTAAGGGAATTTGGCTTAACTTCTTTATCCAACCAATCTAAGGCACGACCAATTAGAGAAAAGGGAAACAACTTTAGCCGAATGAACTCTTGAGAAATGCCGTTCACCTTGATAGTATTACAATACTTCTAAAATTCCTTTAGGTGATTCAACGGGCTCTCACTCTTGGATCCACTAAATTGCCTCCTTTCTATCAAAGTAATCATGGCCAGTCTAATTTCTAAATCATTCGCCGGTGTTGTAGGTGGAGCAATGCCACTCTCAAACATATAAGCACCGGGAATTCCCAACTCCTTAAAAGTTACTCTTGGATTCTCTCCCATGGCTTGCTCTTCTTCTTCCTCAAACTCTTCTTCAGTTGAGGAACTTAGGCTCAAAGACCGGTTGGCTACCCTTCTTCGTGAAAGAGTTCTTTTTATTTTCGGATCCAAAGGAACTAAGGTCCTAACACGAGTTCCACTATGCATGCAAAAACTCAAAAGAAATTGTTATTAACGCGGCTACAAGTGTAGCCTAAAAGAAGGAAGAAAAATCTTTTGTATTTTTGAGTAAGATGGAATAGACTTAATCAACAATACACAATCACAACACCGTTCCCCGGCAACGGCGCTATTTTTTACGCGGGTTGAGATTAGGTCGTTAAAGCTAGCCCCTACCCAAGGCCAAACAAAATTTGTAAACACTTAACACACCCCTACACAAGTATAATGGTAAGTTGAGGGTCGAACCCAAAGGAATGGTTGGCGATTATCTATTGTCTATGGTCAAGCTATTCCAAAATGTAATGATTGGGTGTGAATGTTATGCTAGGACAAAGACTACTAATAAACGAGAAGAAATCAAATGTAATAAACACTAGGGCTAGGATCCACATGTAATCATAACAGATTCAACTAATTGGGAGGTCAAATTGACTAAGTCAAGCAATGTGAGGGAAAATCAATCATGCAACCAAGAGAGCATATCAAGCTATTCTCCTAGAGGTCTAACTAGCGTCAACTACGATAAACTCTAAGTAGGAAACATCACAAGACACCTCAATCGATAATTGCAAGCCACAAATCAATGGTCCGTATCAATGCGAACTTACAATGCAATCTAGTGCAACAATCAAAGTTAGCTACTCTTTAATTAATCACACAAATGGACATGATCATCAACTAATTTAATCACATAGTCAACTCCATCAATTTTCCCCAATTAGCTTTAATCCATTACTCATACATGCTTTACCATTAACCTAGCAAGCTATCTATTCACTAGCCATTGAAGTCAAAATCCAAATAACACTAAGCAACAATTTCATCATGATCAAATCAAACAAGCTAAAATCAAACTTCAATCAATCAAACTTCAATCAAACTTGAACATTCAACAAACAATTCAAATCAAACTAAAGATTGAATTAAAGAAAAGGAATCCTTACAAACTTGATCAAAAATCAAAGGAAATGGAGAAATCTTCAATCATCAACAATCCACCATGAAATTCTCTCTCTAAAAATCTAGAGTTTCTCTCTCTAAAAAATCTCTCTAATTTTTTATCTAAAACTGATTCTAATTTTATTCTAATTCTCTCTCTCTAAAATTAGAAGGAAAAACTATATATAGGAAAGATACAAAAGAAGAGTTAGTTAGTTCATCCCAAAAGAAACCCCGGAAGGCGCGGTCGCATCAGAGGAGAGGCACGACCGCGGGAAAAAGGGTACGGAACAGGGGCCCTGGCAGGCGCGCCCGCACCCGCACAAGGCGCGCCCGCTCCACCTAGGTGCGCGGCCGCACCACCCTCGTGCGCGCCCGCACCTGGCAGCAGGGGAGCCCCCCCTCTTCTTCGTCCAAACTTGTCCTCGTGCGCTCGTCTTTATGATGATGATGAACATCAAGGTGTGCAGTCTTGAAAGGGCCATTTTGGTGGATTCATGGCAAAGATGACGCGCCCACCGCATACGTGCGCCGATCTCTTGACTTTCTCTTTGCGTTTTTTCAAACTTGAAGCTCCAAAAGGCGAACATGAGGCGTCCAAATTGATGAGAAATATGAGAGGAAGGCTCAGGAATCCTTGGAAATACGATCATAACCTAAAAACAAACGAAAACAAACAAATAAAAGGGAAAAAGAACAAATAAACAAAGAAATGCACAAAACAAGGAAACTAACTATGGAAAGCACAAACTAACGAAATAAAGAATAAAACTAAGAAAAAACTAAGGAAAAGGGCAATAAAATAGCATAAAAATCATCCTAAAAGAGGCCAAATGAGTGACATAAATGACACTAATCAAATCTTAGTCGTTCGATCTTATTAATTATCATGTGCGAAGCTCGTGAAATGGTACGATCGAAACGAGAGCAGGTTCGACCGAATTACGGGGTTGGTTCGGTCGAACCATGGGTGTGTTCGACCACTCCTCTTTAAATAAGAAAACATCCAATGTTTCTGACTCTTTTAAAACGTTTTGGCATTTCGATCGAACTTTTATGCGGTTTGCTCGAACCCGATTGAAATGGAATTTGCTTTGATTTAGGGTTGTTGCTGTGCGATCTGTTGTTGTGGTAGGAGAAGTTGCTGCTGCAATTTGGGGGCAAAGAGAGGAGAGATGGGTTGATTTGGGTTTGCGGTGGATGCTGCTTTGAGTTGCGGTGGTGCAAGAGGAGGTAGTTGTGCGGTTAATTGCAGATTGGGTGGTGTTGTGAGGGTGAGTGGAATTGGTGGATGATGGTGGTTCAGGTGCATGGCTGTTGTGGTTGCTATGGTTTGGTTTGGGTGGCTGAAGGTGAATTGGTGGCTGATTTGGGGATATTGGTGGGCTGCTAGTGCGAATTGGTGAAGGGGAATTAGTTGGTGGCTGCAACAGTGTTGTTGTTTTGGTGTGGTGAAGGGTAAGAAAGATTAGAGCGGGAGAGTGTGGTGTAGGATAAAAGGTGGCAGCAGTCAGCAGATAGCAAAGAAATTTGTACACTTGAACTCGTCCCCAAGCTTCGAACTCACTTGACATGAAACCCGAACACCTACACACAAAACCGAGAATAGAATTGGGACAAAGAATAAAATAAAATAAATAAAATAGAAATAAATAAACTATAATAAAAATAAGATAAATAAAACTAAAACTAATAAAAATTAAACAAAAACTATACAAGCGAATAAAAATATGAAATAGACTCAAAGCTAATTAAAATAAATAAAAGTAAATAAGAATACTTTCAAGGAAAAATAAAGAACGAAATATAACAAATCACAACCAACTAAAATATGAAAATAAACTAATTCTAATAAAAACTATGAAAAGAACTAAAACACACTACCAAATAAACAAGAATTGTTATTAAAG